TTTTATATATAAATAATAGTTGTTTAAAAAGTTGTGTTAAAAATTCAAAATATAATATTGTATAAAAAAATACATCTAAAATTTTATTTAAAAAGTGGCATGCGCCTTGCACATTTAGACGCAAAATCATCCACCAAACTTTTGATATCACTAAATTCCGTGCAAATTAGTTGAATTTGTTGTTTGTCTTTGCAAATAATACAAATTAATAATTATATAATTCAGAATTTTACAAATTATTAATTATAAAATTGGGATTTGCCTAATCTTACAAAGAGGCGAATAGCACTACAGAAGACTAGCAGAGGCAAATTAATGAATTATGAAAATAAATATTTAAGGATTATACGCACAACTAACAACTTAATTCAATTAAAGTATTAGACAATTAATTACCTAGGCAATTTGTTGTTCCCTCTCCTTAGACTGCAGAGTCTGCCGTCACTATGACTCTATGTCTGTCGCCAATACGTAGGAGGCTAGGTTAGAAAGTATTTGTTTCTTTTTGGAAAGGCTAGGTTAGAACTTAGATTATTAGATGCCTGCTGCCTAGCGCCGTATATATACTATAACATAAATTTATTTTTTTAATATGGGGCCCCCAAAAGTGCGCCGGCCCTGGGAAAACATGCCCAGGGCCAGCCCTGATACTTCTCATGACTTTGATCTTTGTAGAAGAGATAGCATTCTGGCCTTGTATATATGCCCTCGAATCCTACAATAATGACAAAAAGGATTATACGTCTTATATTTTGGTTTAGTTTGTCTCACTTTAAGGCTGTGTTTGGAAACCCGGAAAATGATTTCTGGAAATCATTTTCCGAGTTTCCCATGTTTGGCCCGCAAGGCTTGGAAAACCAAGTCAACAAAAAACATTTTTCGTTGACTGGAGAAAACCAAGCCAATTTGGCGGAAAATGACTTTCGCCAAATTTTGGCGGAAGACATTTTCCGCCAAATGACCAATAATGTTTCCAGCGGAAACCAATGTTCTGGTTTCCGCCGAAAATCTTAAAAAAAAAACAAAAAACGAAAAGCGGTGAGGAAGGGGAACCAGAGAGAACTTCTCTCTGGTTTTCGGCGAGAGAAACCATAGACAAGTTCTCTCTGGTTTCTTCCGACGAGGGGAACCAGAGAGAGCTTCTCTTTGGTTTCCGGCGAGTAAACCAGAGAGAAGTTCTCTCTGGTTTCTTCCGTCATTCTTTTTTTTTTATATATAACTTTTTAATAATTACTATTATTTGATTTAAAATAATTATTATTATAAATATTTTTTATTTTAAACAAAATAATTAATTATATAAAATGTTTAATTATACCATTCTACCTCATTTTTCCAGAAAATTAAAACAAACACACAAAGAAAGTTTTCTGCTGTGCTCCCAAACACGAGAAAGGAAAATGTTTTCCGGAAAATGACTCATTTTCCAAAAAATATTTTCTAGAAGTCATTTTCCTGCTTTCCAAACGGACCCTAAGTCGATCTTGCTGAGCTGTGCTAGATTCTGGGATATCAGCATTTTCCACAGTTGCTTTAACAAAGACTGTGTTGTTGTGATTTTTATCCCTTGTAAATCCCAAACCATACTTTGTGGTGGATTTCCTTATTCCTGAATCAAGTATTTGATCCATAGTGGATGTATTATCCATCATCTTAATTCGCCTTTTTAGCATTTCCAGCTACTGTTTAAGCTTTTCTTCTCGTTCAATACCTGTCTTTATCATTACATCTCTATCAGATACTTGATTTTTATACACATTTTGAGCATTTTCTAACATTTTAACTTGACTAGACAATGAACGATTAACTTTCAACAAAATTTCCCATTTTGCATGCAACTTCTTATATTCTTGCTCAAATGAAGGGGCTGTTAGGTCTTTGTTTTCAGCTGAGGTATACTCCACAGCTTCTGATTCTGATTCGATCCCTGTTATAGCTGTGAGAGCAACGAAATTTCCTACAATTTCTGAGTCAGACTCGGAGTGGTTTGATTCAGGTTCATCATCGCTCCATGTTAAAGCAGACATGGACTTTTTCCTCCTTAGGTATGTGGGACACTCAGCTTGAACATTCCCGTATCCCTCGCATTCGTAGCAACGAATCCCTTTGTTCTTTTCTTTTGATTGATAAGTATTTGAGGCGGATCCTCGATAGTAGTTTGAAGCGTCGTTTCTTTTTTATGAGTTTGAACTTTATCCTTTCTTCTTTTCTGATTTTCCTCCACGTGAACTATTCATTTGCTTTACCTGTTTCAAGATTTTAGAAAACTGGTTGGTTAGTAAAACAACAGGATCATTGTTTGACTCTTCAGAGTCTGATACAGAGTTATTTTCTTTAACAGTAAAGGCGATATTTTTCTCCTTTTTGGTGTGATCAGATAGCATCTCCAATTCGTAGGTCTGTAGATTTCCCATTAGCTCGGCCACAATCTTTTTCTCCCAACCAGTATTCTCCTGGATGGCTATTACCTTCATTCAGAAACGTTGAGATAGAGACCTAAGAATTTTCTGTACCAGCTTAGGCTAAGGGAAAGGTTCGCCAAGTACTACAGCACGATTAGCAAGCTCCTGGATTCTCACACGAAAATCCACTATGGATTCTTCTTCCTTCATTTTTAGATGTTCAAAGTTAGTCTGAAGTAGCTGTAATTTGGATTTTTTCACTGAGCTTGTGCCTTCATAAGTGGTTTCAAGTATTTCCCATGCCTTTATTGCTGTATCACAACCTACAATAATAGTGAATGAGCTCTCATGCATTAGAGAAAAAATATTATCTAAAGCTTTGTTGTTGTAGTTAGCTAACGTTATTTCGCCCACTGTCCATTCAATTTCGAGTTTTAGCACAGGTGGATCAGTTGCTGTTGCACCATTCTTCGTCGGATGCTCCCACCCAGTTAGAACAGATCTCCACACTAATTCACCTTGAGCTTTTAGGTGAATTTTAGTGTGGGTTTTCCGATAGCCATAATTAGCCTAGTTAACTCTGGTGGTGTCCTAGACCTATCCATGCTGAAACACTCAATAAACAGTTAGAAAAGTACAACCACAGAAGAACAAAAGAAACAGCAAATCACAAATAAACTCAGATCCTGAGTTCAAGAAACACAAATCACCCAGAAATCTAGACTAATAAATTAAGTCCATGTGCTCTGATACCAATTGAAAATTGTGAATCTTGAATGCATGATAAAACCTAACTTGTTCCTACTCATTTTTAGAACAAATTCGCCATCTGTATTTAACACTGTATTAGGAATAGAATAAATAATAAACAGTGCAGGATATGTTCACGCAGTTCGGAAAATTATTTATACGTCTGCGGGGCTACACATAGGTGAACCCAACTCCACTAGATGATCACAGGTGATACAAGGTCCAACAGATTTCCATACAACAGCTATGGCCTAATCTTCTATACCAACTAAACACCATCCTCTTCTGAGTTGGTATTTCTTCACCTTTTCTAGACCTATCGATAGGACTCCCAAAACTTGAATAAATACCTGATTACAAACCAAGCCTAATCTAGACATACATTTATAATAAATAAGCCTGAAAAGATTTAACAGACTTTACACATTAACAGAACATACTATATGTTTAAAATAGCAGGGCCAATATATTAAATCCTCAGGGAAGTTGGCGTGAAAGTGTATTTTTCAGCACTTGAACTCTTGAAATCACTCCAGTTTATACTGAAAAATCTCCTGACATAATCTTGGAAAAACGTTCCTTGAACCTTGGATAACCACTCATCCAAATCACCTCCCTAATAATACTCAGCTCTTGCTTGAATGAATAACCACCACAAGATTAAATCTTTAAGACCAAATCTCCCTGGCATAATTAATTAAAGTTAATACCTCCAATGGTGTGACAACCCAAATTATTTTTCCCAAATTCCAATTTTATAAAGTATCAAAATAGAATTATTTATTCATTCGATGATTTATTCTAAGCTTTTGACCTGAAAGTCTATTTGAGACGTAACCGTATTTCTTCATATCAGTTTTTCCTAGCCTAAAGGATTTTATTTGAGCCCAAGTGTATTCATTTTAGCCCAAAGGTTTTGATTGAGCCCAAATTCATTTCAAGCCCAATCTTCTATATTTTTACCCAAACTAGAAACCCTACAACTTATATTTTATATCTAAATATCAAATTATCTAAATATAAATCTTGTATATCAATTTATATGTTGTTAGTGTCTCAGCTACAAAAAACAGAAATCAAACAACCCTTCGTGTATTTTCATCTCTGCCCCTTGTCTCACTCTCACAAAAAGAAGAAAGAAAGCAGTAGCCAACTTTCCCTAGCCTTAAACTCTATCTCTGGCCTCTATCTCCCGTGCCTCCCTCTCTCTGTTCTCTCCTCTCTCGGCACCGGCGAGCATGACCTCCGGCGAGACCTCCTTTGTCGTTGCAGCGGTAAACGTCGGCGACCCCAGCAGCAACGACCCTCCAGACCTGTCGTAAAGCAGACGGCAGCTCCGACGAAACAATAGCCGTAGCAGACTGGCGGGGTTCAGCTCATCCGGCGACTTTAGTGGTAGATCTGGTGGTGATGGGGCTCGGCTATGTTTCCCCAACGTGTAGCGCTGGCTCCCTCCTCTATTTTCCGACGAAGATCAGGGACGTCGACCTTCCTTTGGCGAAGCAACGACGATCCCCTCTCATCTCCGGCGGTGTAGTAGTTAATCAGGCAAGCTGGGTGGTTGTTTTGCTAGTGGGTGTCTCGGCCCTGTTTCTCCGGCGACCTTGGTTCCGGCGGGCAGTGATGGCGGACGGCAGCATGGCTGGTCTTCTTCCACCATGAAGCAGCGGCGAACCTTGGACTAAATTGGAGGTAGTAATGGCATGAATGGTGAGAGCTTCTGTTAATGAAGTTCAATGATGTGGTGATGATTGTTAATTGGTAATGATATGATTATTGGTCCATGATTAGATGAAGGTTATGCTTGGCGAAGGAATGAAGATGGCAGAACGTAGAATGATGGACTGATCAGGAAGCAAAAGCCGACATGTTCATTCTGCAACTATCAATACCGTAGCCAATGTATGAACGAGACTGGATATCTGGTGCTGATAGGTAACACTGTAGCGTCTGACAATCGGTGTAAATCTGTATAGACTGTTCTCCTCTTTCTCGTAGCCATGACAAGGCTTCCTTGCATGCAAACGCCTCAGCCATTAGAGGGGAGAAGCAACTCACGAGCGGCGCACTGAAGGCTAAAATAAAGTGCCCATCTGAATCGAGGAGAACAGCTCCAATCGTGGCTGATTTTCTCCCATGATGGTATCCGGCGTCCACGTAACATTTCCTTGTTGATATCGCTGCATCGTGGTAGGCCGGCTGCGACGGAGGAGGTGCCGCCTGTTCGGCCGAATGGTCTGTAGCGATATGGCCAGTGCGTACTACCGGCGAAGTGTGCTCGGCGGTTGCAATTGTGGCTCGGGCAGCGTGATCGGCGACCTCGTGGACGCGGTGGTGGACTTTTTTCCATGCATGCATGGTGGCAGCGACTATTGCAATTACTTTCTTCGGCATTGGTAGACAGGCATCCCATACAGCTCCATTTCGTGTTTTCCAAATATGATATAAAATTGCAGTTGCGTAAATAATTCCATTAGAGTCTAGAACATTCAGGATTGCACTAAACCATTCATGGAAAATATTTGTTATAATAATAGGGAGTGGAAGGTTAGATTGAGTCCATATGGACTTTGCATAGTCACACAACACCAATGAGTGCATAGTGTCCTCATTCATGATTCCACACATGGCACACGTTGGATTAACCTCCACCCTCTTTATAAGCAAATTGTTTGTGGTGGGAAGGATATCACTAATTGCTCTCCATAAAAAGGTTTTCCATTTGGGTGGGGCTTTTATTTTCCAAAGGGTGAGCCATTTATCAAATGCCCCATTATTATTCCCATAATCTTCAATTATGCGTCTGTAGCAACTTTTGACAGAGTAGCAACCATTAGGATCCCCGTACTAATACCATATATCATCATATTCCAAGGAAATTGGTATCTTCAGGATTTTAGGGATATCACTTGGGTGGAAAATATCAGAGAGTATATGTTGATCCCATGAACCAGTATCCTGGTCAATTAAACCCACAACTTTAGCTCCAGCAAGCTTGGTGGCATCTCAGTATGGATCATAGGATACTGGTCATTTTGAAGCCATGGGTGGTCCCAAATTAAGGTAGATTTTCCATTCCCATTACGACGCCGTACACCATTACATATTAATCCCTTAGCTTCCATAATACTGCGCCAACAAAAACTGGGGTTATTTCCTAAACATGCCTCTGTAAATGAATCTTTGGGATAGTATCTAGCCTTGTAAACACGAGACACCAGTGAGTCAGTGTTAGTAAGCAGTCTCCATGCCTGTTTTCCTAACATTGCCAAATTGAATGCTCTCAAATCTTTGAAACCCAGTCCACCATATTTTTTCGGGATGCATAATCTATCTCGTGTTTTCCAGTGAATGCCCTGGTCGTTTCCTGATCCCCACCAATAACGATTAATCACCCGCTCATTAGCTATACAGACAGATATAGGTAGTTGAAAAACACCCATTGAAAAGGTAGGTATAGCATGGGCCACGCTTTTCAATAAGATCTCTTTACCCTGAGATAATAATTTCTTATTCCATGATCCAATTCTCTGCCTGATTTTATCTTCAATATAAGCAAATGCTGCCTTTTTATTTCTCCCCACGAAGGATGGCAATCCTAGATATTTCCCAAAATTGGGAGCATGTGTTACCCCTAGGATATGTGCCACCATATTTTTATCATCATGACATGTATTCTTACTATAACATATACTTGGTTTATGATAATTGACTTGCTGCCCAGACCAATTCTCATATAAGGATAAACAATTCTTAATTTCAGTGGCTTCATGCACATTGGCTTTGAAAAACAGTAGGCTGTCATCTGCAAAAAACAAATGGGAGATAAGAGGAGTACCTCTAGCAACTCTGCACCCATGAATTAATCCTTTACTCTGCGCCTGCTGTAATAATAATGAAAGACCTTCCATGCATATAATAAACAGATATGGGGATAAAGGGTCCCCTTGTCGCAGGCCACGGGTGGGCGTGATTGGGTCACTACGCGAACCCAATGCTAGCAACATTCCATGAAGAAAAGACCATTCCTTACAATCATAAGCTTTGGCCATATCCAGTTTGAGAGCACCCCAACCAACAACCCCACACTGTTTTCTATTCAAATAATGGCCTACCTCGGCTACTATAAGGATATTATCAGTAATCAATCTATCTGGTATAAAAGCACTTTGGGAATCAGATATAATACCCTGCATCAGGGGTTTCATTCTATGAGTAATCATCTTGGCCATTATTCTATACATTACATTACTCAAAGCTATAGGCCTAAGATCAAACACCACTTTAGGGGCATTTTTCTTTGGGATTAGTACCACATCCGTATTATTTAGACCAGAGGAAAAGACCGGTTATTAAGGCAGTTTACTATGAATGTCGAAATATCACCACCAACTATATCCCAAAAATGCTGATAGAGTCCTGAATTCATACCATCTAGGCTAGGTGCTTTATCAGGAATCATTTAAAAAAGTGCACTTTTAACTTCAGCTATCTCAAAGGGCAGTAACAATAATTCCTTTTGAGCATGGGTAACTCGTGGGATCACATAAGCAAATAAACTATTACCATCCACAGGATTACTAGAACAAAAAATATTATCAAAGTATTCTAAAATAATATTTTTCATAGCATCCCCTTCCTTCCACTCCCCATAATCATTCATATGTCTTAAAAGTGTATTCTTTTTCTTTCGGTGAGAGGCATACCTGTGATAATATTTTGTATTAGCATCAGCATTCTTGAGCCAGTGTTGATGGGCTCTTTGTCTCCAATAAGCATAGTCTTGGGTCTCCATGTTATGCAGGATCCCTTCCAGTGTTGGAACTCTGCTATGGATGCCGGATCAGTGCACCCTCTCAGATGTAATTGTTCCTTTCTTAGGTGCATAATTTTCTCATCAAATTTTTTATAGCGATCACCACCCCACCGGGATAGACGATTACCATAATGCGCAATACAATCCTACACCTTCATTCCTTCCCTCCTCCCATGATTGTTCGACCACATTCCTACATCCTTCATCATATAGTCATGCCATTTCAAAACGAAATCCCCTCCTGCCAACACCACCCCTTTGTACCGGTTCATGGATGTCCAAAAAAATGGCTGAGTGATCCGATCTCCTTGTCAACATATTGATCACCCTAGCCCCAGGCACAACACCGCACCAGTCATTTGTTGCAAGGACCTTATCTAACTTTTCCTCTATCCATGCAGATGTACCCTTCCCTTTTTCCCATGTAAACTGATATCCCTCCATGGGTAACTGAGATAGTCCATACTGTTCAATAGTCTCCCCAAAGCCGCTAAGGAGACTATCAGGATGCAGGTTACCTTCTCTCTTCTCATACTGGTATAAAAGATCATTAAAATCACCCACCATAATCCATGGGAGAGTGGACCGTGGTTTCAATGATTTTAACAACTCCTAAGCCTCGGTACGCCTAGTTCTCTATGGATATCCATAGTAGCAAGTCATACGCCACTTTGGAAGACTAGGTATACTGACCTCCACATCAATATGATTATTTGAGTAACTTAAAAGCCTCGCTGTATTATTCTTTCACCACAGCAAAGCTAATCCCCCACCTAAACCAACAGGATCAACATAAAAAATACCATCAAAATCGAGATCGACTCGAATACGTTCTGCATGTATTCGTCCCACCTCAGTTTCCATAAGAAAAATAAAATCAGGCTTTTTACGCGACACAAGGTCCGTTTCTTCATGAACTGTTCGTGGATTGCCCAAGCCACGGTAGTTCCAGCTGAGAGTACTCATAATGTTGGGCGGGTCTGGGAACCAGAACCCGCCGTGGATAAGTTTTTTGTAACTTCTGACATAATAACATCTCTTTCAGTGCCATCACCACCACTCCCCAAATCATCCCGTCGTCTTTTGGATGCCGCCACAATCACGGCTCCCTCCTCCCGCCTGCTTGCGGCCGAGGCTTCTCCCACGTTAACAACCGGCAGCCCTACTCCACCATAGCGGCAGAGGAGCTGGCTAGGACCGGTTTACCGTCCTTATCAATAAGCCACGGCACACCCACCTTTCGCGGCCCCTTCCTCATTCCAGCATGTAACTCATCACCGTACGGATATTGGGCGACTGGCAAGGCCGCATCTCACGCTTTTAGAAAGTATTTGTGCAGGTGTCCAAGCATGCCACAGAAAAAGAAAAAGTTATGTAGCCTTTCATATTTAAAATTTACCCAGCAGGTCGTCTTGTCTCGTTTCAGAAGCTTCATGCGTCATTTTAGTGGTTTCAGGATATGAACCGAAACCCTAATTCGATAAAAGGTCTTCCATGGTGCATCCGAAAACCTGTCATCAATTTTTATGAATGTTCCCATATAATTCCCATTCTGCTCTAGAATAATATCCGACGTATATCCAAGTGGGAGATCATGGACTTGAATCCACATATCAACGGTGTCTAGCGGGACCGAGACCGGAATCGTGCCTTCATCAACTTGCTTACAGACCAACATATGATTTTCAAACACCCAGGGGCCACCGTTCAAAACCAATTGTATATCAGTTTCATGATAAAACACAAAGAGAAAGAGTCCTGATTGTATCTCCGTGACCTGCACACCTTTGACTGGCTGCCATACCGATGCCAAAACATGACTCATGAATTCCAGTTTAATAACCTTGGTGGTCAGAAACCTTCCCACCAATCGCCATGTTGATGCTGTCGCTGCAGCATGCTCACCGGCCTCATCCACCGTCGGCTTAAACGGCGCATCCTCCTCTTCTTTGAGTACTATGTCGGCCCATCGCCGACCCAAATTTTCGACCGCTCCTTTTGACGATGCAGAATCCATGCGAGACAGAAGCTGAAGGGTAGTCGACGTAATCGGAAGGAAACCAACGCTATGTCGGAGAGAGGCGAGCGGAAGCAATCGGAAAAACCTTGGTCGTCCAAGGAAGGAGAGAAAACCCTAGAGAGAAAACTCTAGGGAGAAAACCCTAGAGAGATAGCTCTACGAAACAAATTAGTTACACTAATATGTAACATTAAGTGGAAACAAGATATAGTTTAATACTATTATTGTTGATAATAATAGTATGAATAACAAAAGAGGTTTAGTTGATTTTCAGCTTCCTCGTTAAAGTGGCTAGCTCGGAAGTGAGCTCAAGAATTGAATGCTTAGATTTGGAGCTCGGTTAAAGGTATAACCCTATGGATTCCCAAATCTCTTTTGACTCTGTGAAGTCACTACTATATAGTTAAAAATGAGTAGAAATGCTAGAATATTGTGTGTATGAGCTATTAGATGACTTGTTGATGTTGTACAATGTGTTGATGATGTTTTGGAAGTGGAAAATTGTCTGAAAATGCTTGAGAGGACCTAGGTTCGAATCTAGCTGTTAGCGTTATTTTTGATTCGCTATATTATACCATTTTGGATTGACAATGACTATTTGATGATTATAATAAGTGTTAATAAGAGTCATTAAATTACACTAATGGTTATTGTCTAATGAAATAAGTATTGAGAACTAAGTGGGATTAAGAAAAATGAGGACGGCATTATGGAATCAATTGTAAAGGATTATGGGAGGTATTAGAAACGAGATATAGTTTAATACTATTATTGTTGATAATAATAGTATGAGTAACAAAAGAGGTTCGGTTGATTTTCAGCTTCCTTGTTAAAGTGGCTAGCTCGGAAGTGAGCTCAAGAATTGAATGCTTAGCTTTGGAGCTCGGTTAAACATATAACCCCATGGATTCCCAAATCTCTTTTGACTCTGTGAAGGTCAATGCTATATAGTTAGAAATGAGTAGAAATGCTAGAATATTGTGTGTTTGAGCTATTAGATGACTTGTTGATGTTGTATAATGTGTTGATGATGTTTTGGAAGTGGAAAATTGTCTGAAAATGCTTTACATGTGAAGAAGAAGCCTCTGGTGCACAACACAGTGTGCACCAGATAGAAGTCACGGGCCTAGCCAACGGCCCACGAGAGGAGCCGCTGGCTAGAGCCGTGACGGGACGGACCTAGGTAAGGGCCGTTGTAACACCCCACTTTTCTAACTCTTAATTACAACTCTAAACAACCAATTACATAAACTAAGCAGTTTCGGGGATTTTCAACAACAAGGCCAAGTTCAAGTCCAAAACACCCAAAATCTCACACACAATAACAATATGACTTGAACCCAAGAAATAGCCAAGCAATGGCATTCAAGAACCCTAAGAACAAGCTCTAAACATGCATCACCACAAGACAATGCATCAAATCTCACAAATCAACACAAGAATCACAAGTAGAAGCCAAGAATCATCATATAAGTAAGAAAATAGGTTTTGTAAAGCATGGGTTACCTTTGTAGCCTAATAACTTCCTCTTTTCACCCTTAAAAAGTCTTTCCTAGAGCTCCTCTTTCACACCAACTTCATACACAAACCAAAAGACAACAAAGATCCTATATTTAGAAAAAGACACCTAAAAGAAGGTTAAAAACACCAAAAGACCAAGGATCTTACCCTCCCCTATGCTCAAGATGAAGAAAGTAGGAATCTTGGGAGACAATCTTGCAAGACTTGGATGCTCAAATTCTAGTTTGGAGAAGAAGCTAAACCATTTTAGAGAGAGGCTAGAGGTTTTTGTGTTTAGATTGAAGGGTGAATGAAATGAAAGAACATTGCTAGGTTAGCTTGAATCACAAACTTTAGGTAGAAAGACATTCTTACCCTTACTAATGTTGGAAACACAAGGGAACAAGGGCACAACACATGAAGCACAAGGTACAACCCTTTGACTTAGGTGACTAGTCAAAATCTAGTCCCTCGACTATTCAATTTCAGGATTTTTAGGAATAGATTAGCAAAGAGACTTGGATTAATTCTTCAATTTATCCTTGATCGGTGTTTGGATTTACGGGGTGTCACAATTATGGATTATGGGAGGTATTGGAAATGAGATATAGTTTAATACTATTATTGTTGATTATAATAGTATAAGTAACAAAAGAGGTTCGGTTGATTTTCAGCTTCCTCGTTAAAGTGCTAGCTCGGCAATGAGCTCAAGAATTGAATGCTTAGCTTTGGAGCTCGGTTAAAGGTATAACCCCATGAAGGTATCTATATAGTTAGAAATGCTAGATGTGGAAAATTATCAGAAAATGGTTTACAGGTGAAGAAGAAGATGGTGCACAACACAGTGTGCACCAGATAGAAGTCATGGGCCTAGCCAATGGCCGACAAGGGGAGCC